AAAAAAAAAAAAAAAAAAAAAAGATGAGATCACACTGCAGTAGGGTGGGCCCCAATCCAACAGGACTGGTGTCTTTAGAACAAGAGGAGAGGCCGGGCGCGGTGGCTCAAGCCTGTAATCCCAGCACTTTGGGAGGCCAAGGCGGGCGGATCACCCGAGGTCAGGAGTTCAAGACCAGCTTGACCAACACGGTGAAACCCTGTCTCTACTAAAAATACAAAAATTAGCCGGGCGTGGCCGGGCGCAGTGGCTCACGCCTGTAATCCCAGCACTTTGGGAGGCTGAGGCGGGCAGATCAACTGAGGTCGGGAGTTCGAGACCAGCCAACATGGAGAAACCCCATCTCTACTAAAAATACAAAATTAGCCAGGCGTGGTGGCGGGCGCCTGTAATCCCAGCTACTCGGGAGGCTGAGGCAGGAGAATCGCTTGAACCCGGGAGTCGGAGGTTGCAGCGAGTCAAGATCGTGCCATTGACTCCAGCCTGGGCAACAAGAGTAAAACTATGTCTCAAAAAAAAAAAGCAAAACATAAATAAAAACAAAAATTAGCCGGGCTTGGTGGTGCACGCCTGTAGTCCCAGCTAATTGGGAGGCTGAGGCAGCAGAATAGTATGAAACCGGGAGGTAGAGGGTGCAGTGAGCCTTGTATGCTGTTAGGAACTCAAGGGTGGGGACCCAGGTCCTGATTACCATCTCGAGACAGTGCCAAGCTCTGGCCTGAACACCCGCAGCCAAGGACGCACGTCTCAGAGCCTGAGTACCCAGGCCCGCCCACCTGCCATGACTCACTCGTCGTATTTCACGTGGTAAATGACGTCTGCGTCCTCCTCCAGTGCGGGGCTGGACGTGGAGCTGCAGGGTTCGTCCCGGGAGGGGGCCTTCCGCGTCACCCTGACCACCTGCGCCTCAAACCACGCTCCCATGTTCGTGTCCCGGGCATCGACGTACTCGTTGACCTGTGAGGAATGAGGGAACTCTGGTATCCCAACGGGGTAAGGAAAACTGACGGGAGACCACCTTGGTTCTCGGACGCTGGGATGCTCTGGAACCAGGGCACAAACTCAAATGCCTACAGCGAGGTTTCTCCTCCCCGGCTGGGAACCCAGGCCCGTGAGAAACCAGCCCCAGCAGGGGTGATGGGGATGCGGGGCCAGGGGCCATGGACTGTCTTCACAAAGGCCCCTGCAGTTCTGCTTCAGCCACAGCTGCTAGAAGGCTCTGAGAGACCAGAGCTGCCCGTTTGTCAAGAGAAGCTGGAAATCCAGGCAAGGCGTCATGGCTCACGCTTGGAATCCCGACACTTTGGGAGGCCAAGGCAGGTGGATGCTTGAGCCCCGGAACTCAAGACTAGCCTGGGCAACATAGTAAGATCCTGTGTCTACTAAAAAATAAAACAGACTGGGTGTGGTGGCTCACACCTATAATTCCAGCACTTTGGGAGGCTGAGGCAGGAGGATCACTTGAGGCCAGGAGTTCGAGACTAGCCTGGCCAACATGGCGAAACCCTGTCTCTATAAAAAATACAAAAATTAGCCAGGTGTGGTGGCACATGCCTGCAATCCCAGCTACTCAGGAGACTGAAGCACGAGAATTGCTTGAACCCAGGAGGCAGAGGTTGCAGTGAGCTGAGATGTCACTACTGCAGTCCAGCCTGGGCAACAGAATGAGACCATGTATTACAAAAAAATAAAATAAAATTAGCTGGGTGTGGCGGCACACACCTATAACATCAGCTACTCAGGAGGCTGAGGTGGGAGGATCACTTGAGCCCACAAGTTCGAGGCTGCAGTGAGCTGTGATCACACCACTGCACCCCAGGCTGGGCAACAAAGTGAGACCCTGCCAAAAAAAAGAAAGAAAGAAAAGAGCTGGAAACCCAGATCTTTCTGTGACAATTCCTGATCTTACATGGTGGCAGCAAGTTCAGAAACATCACAGCCACTGCAAGCTTCACAGAGAAAACACGTGCAAGCCCCCACACAGGACTCTGCTCTAGAGGTCCACAAAGGAAGCCCAGGGCACTGTGTTCCCCTCAGGGCATGTGCAGGAAACCACCCCTTGGCCATTTCTCCCCAGCCGGAGCTGGAGAGGGGCGTGGGAAGCCCCTCCCGTGGGCCCTGGGTATGCAAAGATCAGAATGGCAGGGAGAATGTCCAACCCCAGAGCAGCTGCAGAGGGGAGGCGCACCTTGTACAGCCCCAACTCCGTCTCATCCCACATGTCCTCGTCGGCTGGCCTGCTGTCAGTCTCGGCGGCTGCCTCGCCGTGGGTGGAGGACTTGTCCGACTCACTCTGGCCCAGGCAGCAGCCCGAGTCGGTGTCGGAGAGCTCGGAGTCCCGCTCCTTGGCGCTGTGGGGGAGCACGAGGCTCTGGCGGACCAGGAGCTGGATGGTGTCATTCAGGCGGACCTCATAGTCGAAGAGGGTATGGCCGTCCTCCATCTGCAGGGACACCAGAGGCAGATGCTGTTCAGCCACCAAATGCCAAGTGGGCATCTGTGGGCACCAGTCGTGAAGCAAGCACTATGTCCAGCCCTCGTGGGGGGAGCAATCTGCATCAGAGTAAAGCGCCATGATACCTGGACCATGCCAGGGGGCTGTCCCGCTCACAGGTGGCACCCCAGTCCCTTCCCTCAGAGTCTCAGGCCCCTCCAGCGAGGGCTTTTGGCACCGCATGCAGGACACACCCAGGAGCACAAAGCATCATCGCAGGGCACCATGCATAGCATACATGGGGGTCTCAGGAGTTTTTCCTGATACTTCGCGTTTACGGCAGCTTTTGTGACAGTGAATGTGTGTCACCTCTGTCACTGGTTCTCAACCAAACACGACTCAGACGCCGGGGGATGCTGGGCCATGTCTGGGACATTTGTGATTGTCGCCACTGGGAGAAGCTCCTGGCATGGAGTGGGTGGAGGTCAGGAACCCTGCTTGGCATCCTGCAGTGCCCAGGACAGCCCCACTGTCCAGTGCCGAGACGGGGAGACCCTGTCCCACCTGAACGGCAAGAGGCACATGCCAGCATCCATGAACTTCCTGGGTAAGGCTCCAGCGCCAAGCTCGCCCGCCAGGGCACCTCCTCCAAGCCTCAGCTCCACCCCTTTGTGCGCCTTTATCCTGATGCCCTCTCATCCCCTGGGGCCCGTCCCCAGGCTGGCTCCACAGCCTGCCCCCCAGGTCACCTGACTCAGCAGGTGTGCAAAGAGGAGCTCATCACCTGAGCTGTATCTGGCGGCTGGAGAAGCCGAGGCATTTTGTCAGAAGCCGCCCATCCACACTCCACCAACCCCCAACAAGGACCCCCCTCCCGGTGGTCTCCCATCTAGGACCCCCTCCCGGTGGTCTCCCATCTAGGACCCCCTCCCGGTGGTCTCCCATCTAGGACCCCCTCCCGG